AAATTAATAATAAACTTTTGTGTACGCTAAAGACATCACTGATTTCGTTGATGTGGACATTATAACAAGAATCAAGAAGATTAAAAGAATGAACAGCAGTTGCTGAATGAATGGAACTACATATAAACTGTTAACCCACACAATAGCTGGGAATGTTGATGCAGATTTTATTATTTATGATTAGAATTTCAAAGCTGGAAGAAACTGCACAGATCTCAAAAATCAAGATTTAAACTTTACAGGATGCTGGAAGTCACGTTATCAAATATTAAACAGTAGCATGGGACTCTACAAATCAGATGAATTCAACTATTTTGTGCTCACCACAAAGTATTTGTGATCACAACCTCCATTTAGTCTTAGTTCTCATATATTTCCATTTATCAAAGTCTAATTTAATGTGGAAAAATCCTTATGACAGAGCAGTTGTATATCACTTTCTGCCTGTTGCAAGTCATTTATGAAAAATTCAGTCTCTACACTTTTCAAACAGTGACATGTATCATATCCAGTTGTGCAGCAACAGTTTGCTGGATGCTAAGCCCAGTTTCATTTAATGCAATAACATATTCAGATTATTCTAGTGTAATTTCCATTAAACTTACACATTTGAAAAATAATCAATTATGATATAATATGCAAAATTTCAGTTGCAAAGACACACACTTCTTACTCTAGTGTAATTTCCACTAAACTTACACATTTGAAAAATAATCAATGATGAAACAATATGCAAAGTTTCAGTTGTAAATGCACACACTTCTTACTCATTCAACCTTTAAACATGAATCAAAACTACGTTTAAACTACACGGTGCTGATTTAATAACTTACAAGAAAAAAAATGATAATTAGGAAATCACATTGCCCATTTAGCCTGTAATTAAATATTTTGAATGAACCAGGAGATTTAGGTACATTAATCCAACAAGATATGTATTGTTTATGCAATATGATTATGATTTGTATTTTTTTAATAGGTTTTAAAAAATAAAAGTCAGAGCTGCTAGACCAAAGGGTCATGGTGTACATAAACAAAAATATTTAAAGCTAAAAAGGCACTAATAAGTACTTTGTTATCAAACATAACAACATCATGTATTTGATCAGTTGATCCTGTTAACAAAAAATGATGGTGTCACACTGATGATTTTCATAAAAAAAGTGGACTTTTATTTTTAAATCTTTAAAGCCATTATTGATAATATATTTGTGTTTTTATAATTCAGTATAGATTTCTTCTTGCAGACTTAAACATATGAATCCATTTTTTTTATTTCCATTTACATCTGAATTTAAAACAGAATTTACTAAGAAGTTACAATAGAAAATATATTCATTTAATATTAAAAGTAAAGTTTGTAAATAAACCAGGAGATTAAGGCACATAAGTCTCAAAGAATATGCTTCTTACCACTTTTGTTTTGAAAGACCAAAGTCACAAGTAGTAGACCAAAGGCTAATATGTAAAACAAATTTTAACTGCTCATAAACTGATTTTTGTAATCACACAGATAAAAAGGTAAGCTTTTGTTTAAAAACTCAAAAAATGTTCCTCTAATAAATTCAAGGTAACCATGAAAGTAACAAATATTCTTTAAAAATGAAGAAATGCAGAAATCTACAAGCTTTTTATGCTTCAACTCTTTATTTTTGACTTTTTTAGTCCCCTGGGAGGACTAAATCACAATCACATGCTGTAAATGGTAAAATTTAGCCAAAATCACATGCCTATCAAGAATTCTATACAAACTTTTGAATTCGATCATTGGTGGCACAAAGAAAATAAGTCAACTAAGCAGAAGTCAATTATATATCTAAAAATGTAAAATACTCAATTATTTAGTCTGTTAATAGAAAGGGTACTAGCAACCACAGATGCTTGTTTGGTCTGTATGTACATAATGTCTAAATATGTTTATTTGGAAGTTATACATCAAATAATGCATTAAATGAATCATATTGTTACAAATGCAATACTCTCAACAATTCATTCTATATAAGTATATTTGCATTTGCATTTACAGCAGTAAACAGAATAAAATGCAATTATCAAGATTCCAAGTATATTTCTGTGAAAAATTTTTACACAGCAACATTACACAGCAACAGATAAATCAACAGCTGAATTAGCAGATTACTGCATCTACACAACAAAGCTAATACTTTCAGTTTATAAGTGTCAATAAACAACTAAACATTCTGTCAAAGGAGAAACTGGTATACAAAGTAAATGTTAAGTTGCATGGTATGAAACGGGAACGATAACACAGCCCAACAAAATGAAAAAAATTGGTGCTTGAGAAATAATGTAATTACTATTTAACTGGGAATAGGCCACAATTAAAGATAAAAACATGTTTATTGACGTTTTAATTTCCACTTCAGAAATCGTTCTCAAAATACAAACAGTCATTTCACTGTTTGTATTTTGAGAACAATTTCCGAAGTGGAAATTGAACTGTCAATAAACATATTTTTATCTTTAATTGTGGCTTATTCCCAGTTAAATAGTAATTAATTTAAAATGCCACAAGAAAATAGCTTCAGAACAATATTGAGAAATAATGAATTTTAAATATTTTTGATGCTCTAATTTCAAAAATTACTTCTTTTCACAGTAGTTTTTTTTGGAATTCATTGTATAATTTTAATTTTGCTTGAAAATATATACACAAAGGCACCTGGATATCACAAGACGGACTTACAGTAAATAAGACTGTTCATGACATGTTATTGTAGAATCAAGACACAAATAAAAAAATATAATATATGTCTGCACCAGAAGAAGAGCAAATGGGTTTGATCACTGCTGGGTGAAACTAGTGTAAGGGCAAGAATTAACATTTAAAAATGGAAATAGGTTCTAAACATGAATGATACAATGTAGAAGGACTCAAAAATACAAAAAAAAATTGAAAATATAAATATATTAACATCAAATTAGAAAACAGACTAAAACATGAAAAAATAAATGAAGAGTGGGAAGGGTGCAGTAACATCATGAAAGAAGCAGCTGAAGCGTTACTTGGCATGGAAGGTAAATAAAGAAGTACAATGAATGTAGAATGATTTACTGTTTTGACAAAGAATGTAAGATTATAACAAACAGAAAAAACAGAGTATATTTATTGATGCAATAGAGGCACAGAATCTGACAAGCAGAGGAGAAATATGAATAACTATGCTAGGAAGAAGAAAAATCCTCCACAGAAAGAAGAGAACATATGAACAAAAAGCTTTAAGAACTACAAGATTTAAGTAAGACAATAGAGACAACAATTTTTACCAGAAACTGAACAAAATAAAAAAAGAATTAAAAAAAAAGAAGTGAAGAGATAGGGAGGGTAATATATTCACAATATTTTGTCTCATTTCAATAGTTCTTTGCTGGAGTGTAGTACTGTGAAAGTTGTGCATATAGGGTACTATTCTAAATTCAATAATAATCAGAAATAAAACCAAGAAAAAGTAAATAACCTATCAACATATAACATTTATGATTTGAAATCTAAAAAATAATTAATGTCAAAATCGATGAGCCAACAATTGTTTTGAAAATTGGGCAATATATTTAAGAATGAAAGTGAATAAGACAAATGACTAATAGGTAAACTTCCAAAGCATTCACACTATAGAGTATGGAAAAATACTAAAAATACTAAGAAAATTGGAGGGGAAAATACACTTCTGCAAAACCTAAGCAACAGTCTTTGAATAACTCAAACTCCACAAATACAACAGAAGATGAAGCAAAGGAAAACCAACTAGCTAAAAAATTAAGAGATTACCTATAAATTAACCAAACATTTATTAAAATTAATAAACAAGTTTTAAATAACAATAATGTAGTAGTTAAATGTGAAACATTTTTTTACTTTCTTCTAGAAGTATTATCACTTGACCTGATGATGAAAGTACTCAAAATAGCCTAGAAGTGACTCACTCATATCTTATTAAATTGCTAGTTTAAAAAAGTATGAAAGAATTGCTGAAGTGGTAATCAAATCTGATAAGATAAAACATTATTCACACATATGTACAAAGATAGCTCCCAGGTTATGTAGGTAGTTGTGAGTTATTAATTAAAGTATAATTCCAGATAATGCCTATGATTTATAAAGTTGCTTTTAAATATAAATTTAGTTGCTACACATAAATTACCACCTTAATATTCTAATTACATTTTTATTTGCTTATGAGTCACCATTTAATACATGTTTGGAATTTGAATAGGTCCACTGTTGATAGAATATACAAATATGTATTGATTTCTGAAAATTAGATAAACTATGTAAATAAACCAATCATTTTACGTATATCCAGTTGTAATTAAAATTGAATTTAGTTGCTTACGCCTTGATTGAATGCTAAAAGCCCAACCTGAATAGACTTAAAAATGACAGGAAGTTCTCAATTTGGTTTCATAATATCATGTGTACTTTTAAGGAAAAAGAATGCATCAAATGGTCAAATATCTTCGCCATTTCATACATCAAGGTTGGTAGATAATTATGTGAATAATTAAATTTGAATTATATTTTACGCGATCAGCCTGTTTCAAGATGTAGCTACCGATGACATTTGAAGCACCAAATTAGTTTACATTTTAAAATCGATCAGACTGCTTTTTAATGAGACTATTAAAAACCAGGTTGTTACAATACAAAACTTGTAACTTTAATTGAAAAGTGGCTTTCAGTTATGCTTTATTCATAGAGAATTTACAGAAATTCCTACCTATCTCCTTACTTTAAACAACGATTTGCAAAAATCGATACCGCTTTCCAACGTATCAGTCAAAGAAATATTAAGAAAGTAAAGAGTATGATATTGAAATAGATTACTACTGAACAAAACCGTATATATTTCGTCCAATTTAACGAAATAATTAGTTTTTTAGAGAAACTGTCAAATATGTCAGAATCGAACAGCGTCTTTTGAAGGGCAATTTAGCGGTATATTTATTGGTGATATATGATATTACAAAAATATACATACCATCGTATCTCTCTGCTTGTTCGGCTAATTTTGCCTTGTATACATTATCCTCCCGCTCGGACATTTTTGAGATGATTTCAGATTTCTTTTATTCACAGCACCTAACACAAAATTCCAATACTCTACACTTTTCTTACTATCAATATGGCTGCGCCCGCCACACACCACACACTAGAATCGCCGACAGAGGTCGAAAATCTTTCGGAGAATGCAGTCTCTTGACGTCACAAAGAGCGCGCAGATTTGAATACAATAATAATTTAAAAATTTTTAGATAAATTTTTGAGATCTTTTAAAACGTTTGACAGATGAATAATGACACATAATTTTATTATCTTATAAACAAAATTGTTTTCCACGACACTCTTTTTTAGAATGTGTATAAAATTTGATACAGACTAGGAGATATATTTTAAGGTTCATAGATCATAGTCCGTTCACCCCGTTTTTTATCGGTCTGGTTAGCAGTGTTAAACTGAATGTCCTTAAAAAATGCCAAGTTCAATGTAAAAGTCATCTATTTGCGGACCGATTTAAGAATCTTTAAAGATCTTTAAAGATTCTTAAAAATCTAAAAATAAAAGTATTGGCTTTTGAAATTAGTGTTCTTGTGTATTGACTTTATTATGGTCATAGTTGGAATTTTTATTTTATGTCTCCGTCTGTTTTCGTCACCAAATGTTGGTAATCATTATTATTATTAGCAATTTTTTAGTCACTCTTTCAGATATTTAATATTTAGTTGGATAATTCTAGTAATAATTCCATATCTTCTTTTTCAAGTATTATGTCCAACTAGAACGTTAAAAACAAGTGGCATGCATGATCTTCATTTTGCTTGCTGTTGCTCCTAATAATGCCAACTCCATACCATTAACCCTGCATCACTCGCGCTATGAGCATTTCTCTCACGCTTCCGTTAAATATGCACATTCTACAAACTGTAAATCATTTGCACTGTTGCTCCCACTTCCAGCTGACTTTTGGAGTGTCTTCATGGATGTGCTTAAGTTTGTGCAATGTTTGTTAAGTGTAGACTGGTAATAGGTATCGTATACATGTTAGTCGTCTGCAGACCTGTGTGAGAGTTTCTCTCATCGCCGGAGTTCTTATGTTAACATGTTGCTTGTAGGGTCAAATAAAATTCTGGTAAGTAAATGTAATTTTTTTAAAATACAGGATCTTTTATTATTGTTATAATATAATTTTAGATAGTACACAATGAGTATAGCGTAGGTATATACTATAGATTATAGCTTTTAGATTTGTGCAAATTCAATATGAAGTTATTCAAAGAGAAGATGGCTAACATGCCGTGGACCCGCCAAGAACAGGGCCAAATTCAAGAAGTGGTGAAAGATGACGGACGAGTAGATACCGAAGACGACGAATCGGATAAAGATATTGAAAATTTTCATAGTGAAGTTAACGACAATTGAGTCGTCCAATTTAAAAACCCGACAAATCCACTTTTTATGAATTTGAAGCTATTCATGTCAAACGATTTGTAATCTTGGCCTCTACAAGTTTATAGTGAATTTCCGATGCAAACTGAAATGATCAAGCAAAACCTAGGATATAAGGTTTTAATCAACATAAAATTGTACACATAATATTAACAAAACAATAAAATTAGCATTGCAGTGACAGTGACTTCTGTCAAACACTGATAGCATAAAGTTGCCTACAATATTAGAAGTCTACAGCCAGGCAATACCAAGGAGGTTAATATCACATCATTCTCCCACACTATAATCTTCCAGATACCGTGGTAAATGACGAATTCTTTCAGATCTTCTAGGTAGTGCTGAAGAAGGCGATAAGCTCTGTTCAGAACTCATTGGGGGTTCTTCAAGAAGTACTGAATCCAGTGGAGGGGGAGATGTAGATGTATCTGCCAGGGGCTGCATGTTTTGCCGGTTGTATTGGATGAGGAATCATTAAGATTCGAATGTAACTCACGTGGGTCTTCTACGAACACTGATTCTTGACCTGGTATATCCAGTATTTCCCCTTCACCTCGTCCACTCGGAGCCAGATGACGATTAGACACTGTGGTTTCCCGTCCGTCTTTCAGTTTAACAAAAGAGTATTCAGGATTTGCCTCTATTACCTCCACTTCCTCTACGATAGGCTGGTACTTGTTTTTCCGATCGAACCTTTTCATCAAGACATGCCCAGATTTTGCTAGCCATGACGGTATTGTATTCCCATTTCTAGATCGACGTGTGTGCACGAACATCCTTTCATGCGGCGTACAGTTAGTTGCGGTACACAACAGTGAACGAATGGAATGCAGCACGACAGGTAGGTATTGTTCCCAAGTCTCAATAGGTGCTTTATGTGATTCACAGGCCAGTTGAATAGCTTTCCAGACAGTAGAATTCAACTTTTCCACTTGACCATTTCCTTGAGGATTATAAGCAGTGGTTCTACTTATTGCGATTCCTCTGGAGTTGAGAAACTCTTTGACTTCAGCTGATAGAAATTGAGTCCCTCTATCCGAATGAATGTATGCAAGCATTCCAAACATCATGAATAAGTTATTTAAATTCTTGATTACTGTTTTGGCACTAATGTCACTGCATGGGAAAGCAAATGGGAATCTGGAATACTCATCTATTACCGTAAGAATATAACGATTATTGGTATTTGAAGGCACTGGTCCTTTAAAGTCAATACTAAGGCGTTCGAAGGGAGATGTGGCTTTTATAAGCTTTGGAAAAAACCCCTCATTCTTAAAGTACCTCGGCTTGATTTTAGCACATACTCCACAGTCACGAGTCATAGTCTTGACTTCATTGAGAGGGAAAGGCAAATTCTTCGATTTTATCCAATGAAACATACGTGTTAAGACTAAGACCCAAAAGGTTCGATCGGAAAAAGAAGTACCAGCCTATCGTAGAGGAAGTGCAGGTAATAGAGGCAAATCCTGAATACTCTTTTGTTAAACTGAAAGACGGACGGGAAACCACAGTGTCTAATCGTCATCTGGCTCCGAGTGGACGAGGTGAAGGGGAAATACTAGATATACCAGGTCAAGAATCAGTGTTCGTAGAAGACCCACGTGAGTTACATTCGAATCTTAATGATTCCTCATCCAATACAACCACGCAAAACATACAGTCCCTGGCAGATACATTGGACACCATTTCCTCGATATTTGGCAGTGGATAGGCATCAAGTTGAGTGAATCGATTAATTGTTTGAGAATAATCAATGACAAGTCGCTTCTTGTGAGTTTTGTTTTTGGTGATAAGCACCTGTGCTCTCCAAGGGGACTGACTTTCTTCAATAATTCCATCATTTAAAAGCTTCTTTATCTTATTTTTAATAAAAATCTGATCTTCAGCACTATACCTGCGCGATTTTACTGCGATAGGTTTACAATTTGAAGTCAGGTTACAAAATAAAGGAACTGCAGGTACTGAGGCTTCAACTACACTACATACCTTGAATACTTCTTTAGGTCCTCCAAATTCAAATTCTAGACTTGAGTGGTTAGATAGAACATCATGACCAATTATTATATCAGCACAGAGATTTTTAACTATAAGTAAATTAATGTTGTCGTACGAGTGGTCACCAATTGTAATATTTTGAGTAGTCACACCTTTAACTTCAGAGGTGTGTGATAATGAGGCCATAGAAACAGTCTGAGTACAAGGCTTCCTAGGGAATTTGCACAGATTAGCAAAGTCTTCATTAATAAAACTGACAGAGCTACCAGTATCTATAAGAGCATCAGCACGAAGGCCTTTTATAGATGCAGGCACTATAGCTTTCTTCAATGAAGCAGGAGTAGCAGCAATAATGCAGGCTGTGCAGTTATCATATCATGTTGGCTTCAAATATGTTGGCAGATGCACTAGTGCTCTTGGAGCGGCAAACCTTTGCAAAGTGTCCCTTTTTATTACAGGATTTGCAGATGGATTCTCGAGTAGGACAGTTCTTTCTTGAATGTATTGGCCCACCACAGAAAAAACATTTGTGTCCTGACCTAGAAGAGTTAGTAGAGTTGGTAGCAGCTGTCACAGTGACACATTCAGAATTTGTTGGAGATACCAGGTAGAGCACTAAGTGTTGAATGTTGATTTGAATAAACCTGAGAGTTGAGTTCTGCCATTTCCATTGAAATAGCTATATTGTAAGTTTCTTCTTAAGTTAGTGTTAAACTCTCTAACAATCTCGATCGTATCTTTGTGGATGACATTCCAGCGATAAAAGCTCCACGGATTGTATCATTTTTATTAGTATCAGCATCTACAGCAGTAAAATTGCAGTCTGTTGCTAACTGTTTTAAAAATTGCATGTAAGAATCGATAGACTCATCTGTCTGTTGTCGTCTAGTGGTTAGTATGTGACGAGCATGAATAGTATTGTTTGGTTTGATGTATATTTTGTCAAGAGTTTGAATGGATTCGTTGTAAGTGTTACAATCGCTTATATATATGTATAAACTCGTGGAGAAATATGATTTATTAATAGTTGTAGCTTAGTATCATTAATATCTAGGGGTGGTACAGCAGCACCATCAGCAGAAACAGCGGGAGTGACAATATGGGCAGCTAAAAAGTTCATAAAAGTTCTTTTCCAATGGTCCCATTCCTTTGCTGTTGATTTCACAGATGGATCCCCGTCGAACCTCTCGGGTCTTAGATACTTCTCCATTTATGTTGATTAAATTGAAATGATCAAGCAAAACCTAGGATATAAAGTTTTAATCAACATAAAATTGTACACATAATCATAATATTAACAAAACAATAAAATTAGCATTGCAGTGAGAGTGACTTCTGTCAAACACTGACAGCATAAAGTTGCCTACAATATTAGAAGTCTACAGCCAGGCAATACCAAGGAGGTTAATATCACATCACAAACCCTCCTAATCTAATCTTAATTTGCATTTGTAATATTGGGAAGGTTTCAAAATCCAGCAAATCCAAGCACATGTTAAAATCAAATGCCAGCAAATCCTAAGCAACCAATCACAGTCAGGTAAGAAAGTGACGTCAGTGAAAATGTTTGTTAGTGTTGTTAAAACCGTTAAAACGTTTGGTTGTAATAAAAGTTTGCCTTGCAAAATTTTGTATTTTTTGAACAAAATCAAAATAGTTTTATAGCTAAAATTAGTTGTTAAAACGTTTTAAAATCAAAATAGTTATATAAAATTTCATGGGGCAGAGGCCGAAACCAGTAACTCCGGATAGGAGTCAAAAACGTGTTTCACAGCCAGATACTTGGAAAAGAACGGTTAAAAAAAAAGAAAGGTAAACACACCATTCTTATTTTTAACAAAAAAAAGCTAAATACTATTTTTTTTATACAAAGCCCA